AGCCAATCACACAAGCAGGAAATGACATATCTGGGGGTGTTCTATCTGTGTACAGAATGCCTCCAGCTTGTTATTTTGCATTGCATTTTACAGAAAAGTGCAAACATTTTGAAAAGGAAAGGTAGTTTTTAATAACATTCTTCATTCTTAAAATGGTAATAACAATTACAATAAGACTTGTGTATACACTATATTATTATTTTTTATTTGCTAGTTTTTTTCCCTATGAAAGTGAAGTTACCCTTTTAAGGCAAAACAGCATCTATATGCAAACAAAAACATATATACACACCAGTATCCTTACAAAATTAACAGAAGGTAACCAATAAATTATGCTGTTGGGAGAACAGAGGATAATGTGATAATAACCCTGAGCTATAGTAAAATGACAGCCGGGCGGGACATTCGTCGCTGCTGTGAGATCTGTCACCGACTGAGTCCATCGGACACAACCGATGACTGATCTGTGTACTGGCCCTTTGCCGGTACCATGTGACCACTGTGATCAATCACAGCAGGTCACACGACAATTGTAAATAATGAATGGCTTTTGTTCTGCTTCGCGTTATTGAACTGTTGTATAACACTAGTCAGACAGTGTAACAATAATTCAGAAGTCAAGAAAATGTGAGACATCAGATCTGTATGTATTCTTTGTTCTGAATAACTTTGTAAAACTACAACATAAGCACAAACAAAACATATGTGTCAGTACATTAAATATTCTACAACAGCTTCATCCCATCAGTGAGTGTACTCACGGACAATTTCATCATAAGTCCAGGAATAGTTCAGAGCTCCACTGTATGCTGCTTGTTGGATCCAGAAGCAGTCACGAAATGGAGGATAGGAAGTTCCAGGTTAGAGGTTATTGCCTCTATGTGAAAATTACCACTTCCTGACAAATCCCGATATAACTAGGCATAATAACTCTAACCAATAGATGGCAGCAACATCACATAACATTACACTATATTACATACATTATTTTCAACAATATGGGCAGAACAGCTATCCATTGTATACAATTGTGTTGCTAACTGTGACTGGTCACAGTGATCACATGGTACAGACTGGGCCACTCACAGACCATCTGTGTCATGTGATTAGCTGTGACCAATCACAGCTAACCACAGCAAAACAAACTATGCTTGTTTATAGCAATGAAATTCATTGCTATAAGCAATCATAAGTTGTAAAAAAAAAAAAAAGATACCAATCACTTCCACAGAGGAGTACAGTGTTACTATGGTAACATATTACTTTGGTCGCAGTGTGTTAAAAGAAATCATAAATTTAAAAAAAAATAAAATACATTGAAAAAAATATTAAGTCACATGATCAGAAAAGCTCCCGATCTCAAGTGGAGCTTTCCAGTACCCGCTGGTTACTGTGCTGGGGGCCTGAAGGGAGTAATGTGTTTACATAGGGATGATTATATGCAGCCACTCAGTGTTAAAACCCACCCGCCAAGAGGCTGCATATATGTGCAATTACAGTGGGGCAAAAAAGTATTTAGTCAGCCACCAAATTGTGCAAGTTCTCCCACTTAAAAAGATGAGAGAGGCCTGTATTTGGCATCATAGGTAGACCTCAAATATGAGAGACAAAATGAGAAAAAAAATCCAGACAATCACATTGGCTGATTTGGAAAGAATTTATTTGCAAATTATGGTGGAAAATAAGTATTTGGTCACCTACAAACAAGCAAGATTTCTGACTCTCACAGACCTGCACCTTCTTCTTTAAGAGGCTCCTCTGTCCTGCACTCATTACCTGTATCAATGGCACCTGTTTGAACTTGTTATCAGTAAAAAAAACACCTGTCCACAACCTCAAAAAGTCACACTCCAAACTCAACTATGGTGAAGACCAAAGAGCTGTCGAAGGACACCATAAACAAAATTGAAGACCTGCACCAGGCTGGGAAGACTGAATCTGCAATAGGCAAGCAGCTTGGTGTGAACAAATCAACTGTGGGAGCAATAATTAGAAAATGGAAGACATACAAGACCACTGATAATCTCCCTCGATCTGGGGCTCCACGCAAGATCTCACCCCGTGGGGTCAAAATGATCACAAGAACGGTGAGCAAAAATCCCAGGACCACACGGGGGGGACCTAGTGAATGACCTGCAGAGAGCTGGGACCAACGTAACAAAGGCTACCATCAGTAACACACTACGCCGCCAGGGACTCAGATCCTGCAGTGCCAGACGTGTCCTCCTGCTTAAGCCAGTACATGTCCGGGCCCGTCTGAAGTTTGCTAGAGAGCATTTGGATGATCCAGAAGAGGATTGGAAGAATGTCATATGGTCAGATGAAACCGAAATAGAACTGTTTGGTAGAAACACAACTCGTCGTGTTTGGAGGAGAGAGAATGCTGAGTTGCATCCAAAGAACACCATACCTACTGTGAAGCATGGGGGTGGCAACATCATGCTTTGGGGCTGTTTCTCCACAAAGGGACCAGGACGACTGATCCATGTACAGGACAGAATGAATGGGGCCAAGTATCGTGAGATTTTGAGTGCAAACCTCCTTCCATCAGCAAAGGCATTGAAGATGAAACGTGGCTGGGTCTTCCAACATGACAATGATCCCAAACATACCACCCGGGCAACAAAGGAGTGGCTTCGTAAGAAGCATTTCAAGGTCCTAGAGTGGCCTAGCCAGTCTCCAGATCTCAACCCCATAGAAAACCTTTGGAGGGAGTTGAAAGTCCATGTTGCCCAGCGACAGCCCCAAAACATCACTGCTCTAGAGGAGATCTGCATGGAGGAATGGGCCAACATACCAGCAACAGTGTGTGCCAACCTTGTGAAGACTTACAGGAAACGTCTGACCTCTGTCATTGCCAACAAAGGATATATAGCAAAGTATTGAGATGAACTTTTGATATTGACCAAATACTTATTTTCCACCATAATTTGCAAAAAAATTCTTTCGAAATCAGCCAATGTGATTGTCTGGATTTTTTTTCTCATTTTGTCTCTCATAGTTGAGGTCTACCTATGATGCCAATTACAGGCCTCTCTCATCTTTTTAAGTGGGAGAACTTGCACAATTGGTGGCTGACTAAATACTTTTTTGCCCCACTGTATGTGCAAAAGTTGTTCTCACCTAAAATGATAAATTGTTGTCATGGCTGGCTTTGGAAGTGTTCAACTTTCTTCCTATATTTTTAAGTAACAAGCAACCTAAACTATTTTTTCTTCTCCAGTCATTTCAAAAATCTGACAATGACAGTAGACAATGCAGTCACATATTTTGTTGAGAACGTGTTTTGTGTCGCCCTGAGCATTTCCCTCAAAGGAATATTGGGTTTTAGAAAATTCTTATTTTAAGCCACAGTGTCATTTGGTCTCTCTCTCTTTGAGCTATATGAGGAATAGTTAAACAGCCTAAAGAATCCAGTAGAATTGTGTCCTGTAAATACCATCTTCACAGTGCTTTTCATAGGAAGTTGTAACTGCCTGTAACCGCTCTCTCATCTGGAAATCCTAAATCCACTGGCTAAAATCAATGAGATTTGTGCTGTGTTTGCAAAACTTGCAGAAGCTGTCAGAATCCATTTCTTTTTAATACTCCATGACTGGAATGTCACATCATTCACAACAATATCACTATACTGAGAATAATGTAAAAAAGGAAACGTGTTCTCTGTGTATCGTAAGACAAATTCAGGATGGCAAACGACTTTCCTGCTGAACTGTCCAATCTGCTCCAGTGACAGACAACAGTCCCCGAGGATTGACGGACTAAAAAAATCTGTTATATCATCTCTTCTTTTTAGTTCAGGCTGATTAGGCTCATTATAGGATTAATTATATACATTTACCTGCCTTGCATTTAAAAGTAGAACTATAGGCAAAACTTTTTTTTTCATTTTGGATAAAGTATGGGAGGGATATTATTATTATTATTATGCAATATTTATATAGCGGCAACAGTTTGCTCAGCGCTTTACAATATAACGGGAGACAATACAGCAACAATACAGATCAATACAAGAGGGTTAAGAGGGCCCTGCTCCTTGGAGCTTACAATCTAAGAGGGAGGGGCTAGTGGTACAAAAAGGTAATAACTGTGAGGGATATTAGCTGAGGGCAGGATAGGCTTCCCTGAAGAGATTGGCTACAAGTGAGCAGAGCAGGCGATAGTCTGATAAATTGGGGTAGAGAGTTCCAGAGGATGGGAGAAGCTCAGGAGAAGTCCTGGAGATGAGCATGGGAGGAGGAGACAAGGGAGCTAGAGAGCATATTTGGAGACAAGATTGGTGATGTAATTTGGGGCAGAGTTACAAATGGCTTTATATGTTATTGTTAATGGTTTGAATTTTATCCAGTAGGCAATAGGAAGGCAGTGAAGGAGTTTATTTTTACCATCTGTGTCCATTAGGAGAGATTTTCCTTCACTTCCTGTCGTGTCGCATAGCCAAAAAAGGAAGTGAGGGGAAATCCCTGCAAACTAGGGGAATTCCTTGGAGACCCCCACATTTCCAGAACTAGTGTCCCCATTGGAAGATTTCCCCTATACTTTTCTACTTTTACTTTTCTGGGGGCAACCCAAAATTTGGGGTTTTCTTTTACTTTCACTTTCAATGATAATGGTAAAGTGGACAAATACAGAGGATGAATCTCCTTAATGGGGACACAGACAGAAATAAAACCTGACAGGTGTTTTATTCCAGTGCCACTCTACTATACTTTAAGACACCACCTGCAAATAAATTTTAATTCTCAACATTCATATAAACTAAGAGTTGATAATAACCACATTAAACATGCAGTAGTAACAAGGGGACTTTGTATTTTGGTATTTTCCAAAAATGGAAAAACGGGACCATTTCCAGGTATACATTTCTATTACTTCTACCTCTACTTGTAACTAATCAGGGACTGTAAACATGTAAAAAAATATGTATACTGTACACTATATTGCCATAAGTATTGGGACACCTCTCTTAATCATTGGATTCAAGTTTTCCAATCACCTCCATGGCCACAGGTGTATATAAAAAAGCACTTAGGCATGCAGAATGCTTCTACAAAACATTTGTGAAAAAAATGGGTCGCTCTTAGGAACTCAGCATGGTACCGTGATAGGTTGCCACCTGTGCAATAAGTCCATCTGTGAAATTTCCTTGCTACTAAATATTGCATGGCAACTGTTAGTGGTATTATAACAAAGTGGAAACAACTGGGAACAACAGCAACAGCAAAATGACAGAACGGGATCAGCTGAAGTGCACCGAAGCTGCAAACTGTCTGCAGAGTCAAGAGCTAAAGACCTCCAAACTTCATGTGGCCTTCAGATTAGCACATAACTGCGCACCAGTGCACAAAGAAAGGATTATGGTGTGGGGTTGTTTTTCAGGGGTTGGGCTTGTCTCCTTAGTTCCAGTGAAGGAAACTCTTAAGGAGTCAGCATACCAAGACATTTTGGACAATTACATGCTCTCAACTTTGTGGGAACAGTTTGGGGATGTCCCCTTCATGTTCCAACATGACTGCGCACCAGTGCACAAAGAAAGGTCCATAACGACATGGATGAGATTTGGGGTGGAGGAACTTGACTGGCCTGCACAGAGTCCTGACTTCAACCTGATTTAACAACTTTGGGATGAATAAACCTTCCCAGAAGAGTGGAAGCTGTTATAGCTGCAAAGGGTGGGCCAACTCAATATTTAACCCTATGGACTAAGACTGGGATGTCATTAAATTTCATGTGCATGTAAAGGCCGGCACCCCAATACTTTTGGCACTAGTGTGTGTGTGTGTGTATGTGTGTATATATATATATATATATATATATATATATATATATATATATTATTATTTTTTCCCTTCTTTTTTTAACAGGTTTGATGCAATGAACTTGCAAATGTTCCCTTATATCATTGTCATAATTATACCTGGGGCCACTGACAGCATGGAATGCAGACAGCTAGGGTGAATATGAATTCTAATCTATACCCTCTCTATTCAAATTTTTAGCAGCATCTCCAACATCTCCAACAGTTTTCTGATGAAAAGAGGCCCCTTGTGAAGGTGTGTAGGAAACACAAGTAATTAAGGAAGATTAAGGAAACCCAGCACAAGCAACTGCATGCTCAAGTTGTTGTTTTGACGGGAGCAGATACTTGATAGAGTGGAGATGGATTTTACTGCTGTCTGTTCCTCCATTAGGGAGATTCCCCCTCTCTATTTGTCCTTTTCACTATTGTAGCCCGGTGCTGTATGTTTGTACCACTTTCTCCCCCTCCCCCCCGCCCCCGCTGGGTGGGCTGCTGGTTGTGTGGAGGAGCGTGTTCTGCAGGATTAGAGAGGTGTGTTCTGTTCTTACTGCCACCGCTGTGCTGCTGGAGTGGCTCTGTGTGGATTTTCCCTGCCCCCCCCCCCCCCCTCCTGGCAGCATCAGAGCGACTGTGTGTTGTCTGCTTGCTCCTGCTTCCCCTTCCCTCCTGGCAGCATTAGAGCGACTGTGTGTTGTTGTCTGCTTCTGCTTCAGAGTGACTGTGAGTTGTCTGCTTGCTCCTGCCCCCTTCCCTCCTGGCAGCATCAGAGTGACTGTGAGTTGTCTGCTTGCTCCTGCTTCCCCTTCCCTCCTAGCAGCATCAGAGTGACTGTGTGTTGTCTGCTTGCTCCTGCTTCCCCCTTCCCTCCTGGAAGCATCAGAGCGACTGTGTGTTGTCTGCTTGCTCCTGCTTCCCCTTCCCTTCTGGCAGCATTAGAGCGACTGTGAGTTGTCTGCTTGCTCCCCCTGCTTCCCCTTCCCTCTCTGGCAGCATTAGAGCGACTGTGAGTTGTCTGCTTGCTCCTGCTTCCCCTTCCCTTCTGGCAGCATTAGAGCGACTGTGTGTTGTCTGCGTGCTCCTGCTTCCCCCTTCCCTCCTGGCAGCAATGGCTGTAGCCAGTCAGAGGCCGGAAGGTGGCACTGTATAGGAATGCAGCCACAATGGATTATGAGACATGTAGTCTACAAGGAGTGCTGTACAATGGAGGCTAAGGAGTTGCAAACTTCAGTACCCAAGATTCCCTGTACACTAGAGGGGGAGAGGACACAACTTTTCCCGGGCAATGTACCGCAAGTCTGGGCAGTCTAGTGCAGGAAGCCAGGAAGTGTAGACCTATTGCTGGGGTCTGTACATTACTCCAGAGAGACCAGAGTCTACATAGTGCCTTTTGATGTTCTGTGTAACCAGAGAACACATTGAACAGAGCCAGGATCTGAGTCAGAGTTTCTGTGTGTGCCATGATCAGAGAGGACAGAGCCTATGAGGACCAGAACTGAGAGACTGAGTCTTGTGTGGACCTGTTCTTGAGGACTGACTCTTTTGGGACAGCAGACTGTCAAATGCACTGGATCAGATCTCTTGCCTCCCAGGAGTGGTGAGCAGAACAACCGTGTTTAACCCCTCACTGTCCACAGTTACTACCAATAGAGACTGCTCCTTACTTAGCATCCCATCAGTTATGCTTTGTGTACATTCTTAAAGGGACAGTTTCACAAGCACCATCCTTCAGATGGGTCCCAACGATAGCCAGCTAATATTGACAATTAAGCACCAGGTATTTTGTAGCCAATTCCAGGAGTACCCTTTGTCAGGAACATGTCCATCCACCCACTAAAGGGCTGTATGTGCAGATAGCACTTGAGGACACTTTTTTGGTGTCAGTAAATGCTATGATAAATTTGCACCATTTATACCAGTTAAAATGAATTAGGCATTGCTACAGTCCAGTTGATTGCTATATTATGGTTCAGTGTTCACCCTATTTAGTTCAGCATCTTTAAATGTAGTAAACTCCATGCTCCTGCCACATTATATGAATTTGCTTTTTTTCAGGCTGTATGGTATGATTGGGGAGATCACTACTGACATGCTGTACAACATGGGATTTTGGAACGGTATTCAGCGTTTTATTTTTTGTTTTTTTAGTGAGGAATTTGTCTCAATTCTCCTTTGACAGCATGTTGACAGATTACATTGCAATACATGTACTGTACTTAACTGCATTACTGAATAATTACTGTGTTTTATTGTAGCACTGGAAGAGCCTCGGATTTATCTCACAAAATATGTATCAAACTTGCTCCAAGGAAATGAGTGAAAAATTAAGTGAAAAATTAAATGCTGCTGTTCAAGTGTAAGCCGTGTACCGGGGTGGGCTCCCCGGGATACAGTGAAGTCATGAATGAGGAAAACAACCCCAACACCAGCTTTTGCCACAACAGAATTTTACTTAGATGTGGCAAATAAACACAACCACAAATGCTGAAAACATACAATTAATTTACATACACCCAGCCCAAAGGCTGAGACCCTTGTGTTGCACAGCACGGCGCCTCCTGATGGATGAAGGTAGAAAGTGAAGTAATTTACCTACTGGTGGGCACATCTAAGCTGCCACACCTTACCCGTTATTACCCTAAAAGAGCAGGAATCAGTGTATGGGTGTATGGTATGGGCTAGCCCATGGTGCAGCACAACAGCTTACAATCTTACACAAATCTACAGTATTCCCCCTCTCATAACTGGTCCTGTAGCATGTGCCTGAGTATTCCTTCTGAGCAAAACGCCAGTCTGGCTTGAGTTTATGGGATGTTGTCAGCTCTTCAATGTGAAATGTCACTTTAAGTTATGGAGTCCTTCCAATGATCAGTAATAAAACACTTGTGGCCTGACACAAACAGAGACCCTAACTAACTAACTATAGGCCTGGCCTCAGTCTCTAGGCGCCAACACTGAAATGAGGTGCGTGCACGATCTTACCGACTCTGGTCGTCTTTGCATCTGCTGGTGACTCTGAACAGAACAAATGTCTCTCCAACAAGCATGCAGTATCTCAGTGTATGTTGCTTTGTTCCTCTGCTCTCATCAGCATTCCTGGCAGCAATCTTCCTTTCTCTGAACAGGATCAGGGTCTTGGACACGATCAGCTTCACTTAGCTGCAGCTCTGGTTACTGAGGGATGCCCTCACACCTGGATGCCATCAGATTCTCTGCTCACACGGCTCCTGCATTCACCATCCACAAAACATGGCTGCTGTCTCTCCTCTTCTTCCTGTTCTCTCAACTGTGTGTGAAAACCCCACCTCTTCATGAATTTAGAAATATCTATGCAGTCTGAGGCTGTGTTAGGAAAACAGTGGCATCTTGTGGCCAAACCACAGAATGTCAGTCCCGAACATTTAATTTACTCCACACAATAATTTACTGCACACAAACAGTGTTCAAACAATATAATATATATAAAAAGTGCAGCGCTAAAAGTTATTATACATATATGAAAAACACAATGATGTGAATAAAAGTAGTCCCAACAAAAGTGACTTGAAGTAAAAGTGCACACTAACCAGATGTGCACATTAAAAGTGCAATGTAGAGATCGTAAGGCTCATGGGGTAATCATCAGAGTAGAAACGATGTTCTCTTGGTCAGAGAGGGTCCCCGGGTGGTACAGAGCTGGGCAGGAAGAGAGACTCCTTGACAACCAAGAAACAGAACGATGATCCGCCTGAAGAAAATGACTCCTCCACTGGGCAAAAAAAAACGTATCTGGAAAAAGGTTGCTGCCCAGGAGGGGTCAAGAAAAAATGCCCATAGTGAAGTATTACATAAACAATTTATTGTAATTAAAATGACAATAGCAGAGGGGATGCATCCAGTAAAAACAAACAAGAACAGACAGGACTAACCGTCCTGTCAGTTGTAATAGCCGTCGGAGCTCCACGATGCTCCGACAGCTTGACGTCACGGCGTGCCTTTGCAATGCCCCACTACCTTTCCTAGGCACCCACATCCGAAACACTTACCTGACTCCTCCCACCGCTCCAGCACTGACTAGGCTGCAGCACCACTCTTCCACTTCCTGCTTTCACAGGAGACACCAAGAGCAGTGGGAGCCATAGGCTCCTTCTGTTGTCAGTCAAACTCCTGTGAGGTGGGAGTTGGGGCATGGCTTACTGAAACTGTGTGTGTCTATGGCTGCACACAACCTGTC